CTTGTTGTGAGAATCAAGGTCTATTTGTCATTAATAATCAATAATTGATATTCAATAACGATTTATCATTTAGATGTCGTATGACTGTGAAAACTGAATTATAATTCATGATAATTTGTCTTACCAACCATAGATTTAATGCATATGTTCCGAGCTTTCGGCCTACTCGGCTATCCTCAGGGAAATAAAAAACATTACATATTGACAAAGAAAAACGCGATCAAACCATGGCATATGTGCGCGCGCATTAAATTAAACAAATTCGCGCGCGCTTAGGAAAAAATAAATAAAACAAATTGATTAATTAATTAAAAATAAATAAATGAATAAAATAATAATAATAATAATAATAATAAATAAATAATAACAATAAATAAATAGATAACTAACTAACTAACTAACTAAATAATAAATAAATAAATATTGATTTACTGTAACCTTGTCGGTACTGATTCACCTAGCGTCCTTTCTCAATGGATATTATCAAAGGCGCTTTTACATTGAGTTGTGAATTCCAGATTGCTTTTTATGCAATTTACAATCATGAGAGATGGTTAGTATGAGGTGTAGGTACTGAGGGTGGTCACTGGCAGGGTCTAAAAGTCTAACCATTTGTAGATGTAATTACAAAAGCAGCACTTTCTTTCTCCTTACCTTTCCTCCTTCATGAACCCTGCATGAGTGTTGGTCCTGCCGGGATCCCAACCACGACCTCCCGACCTCCCCATCAAAAACTCGATTTAGGGCACATCTACTTGCCGTAAATTTTAAAGRCCCTGAAAAAATATCCCGTCTTTTGACTCGACATAAATTCACCCTGCATATGTTGAATCTATGTTGGGATCATTCCGTTCATTGATTAAAAATGTGGATGTAGAGAAAGACAAAATCTTTGAGCATACGACCRGCGAGGAGCACTAAGGAGGAGGACGAGGAGCAGAACAAGGACGAGGAGCACTAACGAGAAGGACGAGAACAAGGAGCAGCAGGAGGAGTACGAGAATAAAGAGGAAGAGGAGGAGCACTAGCGTAGGGAGGGGAGCACCCCCTCCAAAAAAACTTTGCTTTCGGCACCAAAATGTTATTAATTCATGCGGGATTCCTGTGGATTTGGCGGGAAAATGGTACATCGTCCGCCTATAATCGAGACCTCGATACGCCCCTGAGAAGTAGGGGAGGAGGAGGAGGAATAGAATAGGAGGAGATTAAGAGGGAGGAGAAGCGATAAGACAATAAAGAAGGGTCAAAATCGTACGAAACATTTTATTATCTTTTAAAGCTTCTAAAATTATTACGTTTCACTTGCCATTTATTTATAGAGCTCATTTAAAAGTGCTCCTAAAGCCTGACACAATACTTTCAGTATTGATTCTACATTAAGTATAAATAGTTGAATGGTGAAATATTTCTAAATTTGAGTGATGCGTTTCTAAGTTATGAAGGTTTATATTTTTGACTGTGACGTCATACTGGGAAAATGTATTTATTTTGACTTGTAATACTTAAAATAGGGCCATGCGTAAACAATGAGAATAATGATGATGATTTTCAAATATTTTTTGCTTCAATAATTTTGAATTTGTATTTTTAATTCGACCCAATACTGCATGTTTCTAWCCGATTTATTTTCTCTACACATTGGTGTAGTTTTATATTAGACGTGTCCAACAAATAATGAATGTCAGCTGTATA